AAGTCGTCGAGAATTTCAAGTATCTGGGCAGCTATATCAGCGCCGGTAGAACTGAAGATGAGCTCACGAACTGTACAGCAAAACTCGATGCGCTTTTGCTAATCTTCGCCATCTAGTGCGCCGGCGTGACATTACTCTCGCTCTGAAGGGCAGAGTGCACAATGCAACCGTCCGTACAACCCTACTGTACGGTTACGAAACCTGGCCCGTCAACTCGACAGACGTAAAGGGGCTTGTTACGTTCGAAGATCGCTGCCTTTGCAGCTTAGCTCATATCTGATGGGAGCACCGCGTGAGCAGTGAGCGTCTTCGGCATCGCGTATTTGGTGCAGGAATAGCGAATGAACTGCTCAGCACCATTATATCACGCACCAGGCTCCGATGGCTGGTTCAGGTGTAACGCATGCAAGCCCACCTACTCCTGCGATGTGCGTTGTTTGCCCGCTGGGAGTGTGGATGGAAAAAAGGAAGCGAGGCAAGCAATGAGTTGCTCAAGTGGAATGCAGTCCCTTACTTCGAAGTTTGTGTCGGTTGCTGTTTCCCGACTGCCTGGCCGGGGACCGAAGGATGATGAACATGTTTGGTTGGCTACACTAGCTGACATGGCGAGGAGCCGACTTCAGTGGCATTTGTGTTATGAGTCTCTGTCCCTCTCCTCTCCTTTAGCTTCCCTCTTTAACAGCGATCACAAATGTGCTTTTAGCATAGTGTTGCCTTTTTATAGCTTTCAGTCTACATTGCCTAATACATGTATATATATATATATATATATATATATATATATATATATATCACCATCTGTGGCACAGATATTTTGCCATCAGAATCATGACGGAAGAAGAAAAAAGCATGCGAATAAGAAAAAAAGAACCTGCTGCATTTTCAGTCGTTTTTTGCTCACAGTTTCTAAGTTTTTAATTGTTTTATCGGGGAAGGGGAGGGAAATCACCGCAACACGCAGATATACACCTGCACCATTGACTTTGGTCGTGAGCCATGACTTCTAAGGTCTCCAACCAGCGACATCCGCTATCTCTGAAATCCCAACCAGGGCTTCGAGAACAACCGACTGAGATTAAATGTTTTTTTCCGTTTTTCATGCGGCTTTTTCATGTTGTAGGTTGTCCACCGCGCCGTCTCCTCTAGTCGTGTCCAGCAACTGCGAACGACTCCCGACACGGAAGACGATGAGCGAGCATTCGCAGTACGTGTCCCAGCCACCGCAGCTGACGCAGCGGGACGAGCTCCTTAAGCTAGTAACTGCATTCACCCAAGACACTGTCTAACTTCAACATTGCTTACGTGGTGCAGCCACCACACAGGCAATGGACTGCAAGCAACGGTGCTCAACGACAGAGACGGCACAGATCAACGATACGAACATGCCAAGTCTCAACCGCACAGCCATACGGCTCGGATAGTCGCACATTAAACTCGCTCTTTGATGGATAAACGGATGTCATGGTGACGCCACAAGTGCCTCAGCTTAGAGAAAGCGAGACGTGCACTGGAGATACACATCGAAATCTCCTCTCCAACAGCTCCACCGGCTGTGATGCAACTACCCAGGTAGGCAAAACTGGAACCTCCAGTGTCTCACCATCAAGAGTGAGTGCTGGTACAGGCATCTGAAAGTCTTGTAAACCAACTTTGCACTTGGATGGGGAAAGAGCCATTCCATACTTTGACACTTCAATCGCCAAGCGGTTGAGTGCAAGTCAGCAAGACAATATCATTAACGTAGTCCAAGTCAACAACTCGGCTATCTGGGAGGAGTTGAACGCCAGTGCTGAACGAATTATCCTGGGCATTCTTTTGGACATTCTCAATCGCGAAATTAAAATGGAATGGGAGGCATCCTAGTCGAACTCCACTGGTGACAACAAAGGAAAGCAAAAGCTTGCGATAGATCCTAACTCTGCACGAGGTCAGACTGTGCATAGCACACAGTATGGTAACGAACTTCCTGGGGGCGCAATTCTTCAACAAACAATGCCACAATGCTGACCTGTCGACAGAATCGAAGGCATTGCGGTTTTTGGCACACATGGCGTAGCTTGAGGATGTGAAAATTTGATCCATGCAGCTGTGGCCAGGGCCGAACCCAGCTTGTTCTTTCCGCTGTAGTGATTCGCTCATTGGATATAGCCTTCGAAGTATGATGGACACCAGAACCTTAAAAACGACGGGGACCAAGCTGATACCCTTGTAATGTGCACACTGTGTGTAGGCCCATTTTGAAGATGGGATGACTATCGACTCACCCCAGGATGATGGAACCTCCTCTTTCAGCCAGACTTTTGAGAACAAGGCATTGTTCTCGAACCAACGAATAGCCGCCAACTTTTAATAGGGCGGGAAGTAAGCTATCATGGTCTGATGCCTTATAGCACTGCCAGATTTTCTGGTGGAAAACGGGATCTGTGGGGACAGACCACTCAGCACCATTGAGCACTCTAGGGGAAGCAAATGGGGCTGGTGACCAGCAAAGCTGCGAGCCCAAGTGTTCAGCCCATCGTTCAAATCGGCGTCGAAGATTAGTGATTAGTGGGCCATCCTCTTCGCAGACCGTTTCGCTTATACCAGATAGGAAACCTTCGGTGGCTCGGATAAGATGGAAAAGTTTTCTGGTAGTACCAGAAAGACCAGCAAGTTCCATCTCTATCACGTTCACACCACTAGGTTTCACGGTTCTTTAGTAGACTTCTGTGCAATTCTCGATCTTAGAATTGTCCTTCTTTCTTACAGCTAGAATCGACCGAGACCGAGCGGCATCTCTCCATCAGCGACAGGGAGAAATCAGGGATCCAGCTTTTCGGTGGGTGATGGGTGACTCCGTAACTATCAATGCCGGCAGAAACTAAAACCTTTTTGATGCGCATCCACTATGAATTCAGATCGTCATCAGAAGCTGGGGTAAGCATTGTTGACAGGGAGGTCTGGTATTTGGTTAACGTCGTAGGGTCTTGTAGGTTTTCTACACCCGGTCGGTAGTGCGTACGCCTAGGTGATCCTCCGAATCGCGTGCATAACTTAACGCGAACCAACGCGTGATCGGAGTCTAGACAAGTTGACCAGTACGAACGGCAGTCAGATACGCTTCCGCGCCATCTGTAGCTTATCGTGGTGTGCTCAAGCTGGAACCACTATTGCGTTTGAGAAGGTAGGCGCCAGGTAGCAGTCTATGTCTTCGAGTGTTGAAAGTTGGTGCTCGTAAGAAACAAGCGATGATCAGAACAAAGAGTCAGTGGTTTGTCTCCATTGTCTGATCGGCTACTACCGAAGCCAAAACTACCCCCAAGATAATGCTCGCTTGTTGGAAGGCGGCCCACTCGTGCATTTAAGTCTCCGGAAAGAATGACAATATCACACTTTTTAGCGAAACGCAGTAAGTCATGTGGTTGTCGTTAAAAGCAATCCTTTACTGCATCTGAGCTGCAGTTTGAAAGAGCGTAGGCGGAGACGACGAATCATGCGCGTGTAACATCTCGACGCTTACTTAACTTACATGAACCTCGAAATCCGACTGCACTTTTGCCGGCTTGTTGACTGGGATCCAGTCAAGCAGAGCACACTCAGCCTTGCCACTCAAAGCAACCCCAACACCTGCCCGGCCAGGAACGGCGGCTTCTGGGTCACCGGACAGGCGCAAATGGTATTTGACGTCAGCTTTTGCAGGGGAGGCCATTCTGATGACGGTAGGGGACTTTTTGCAGTCTAGTTTCTGAGAGGCAACCGATGTCTACCGAGAGCGTCTCAAGAGTGCGGGTCAGGCATGCTTGCCTTCCGATTTGCGAGACTGTATGGAGAATCAGGTCGAAGAAAAGCTGGGGATTCGGTGGAGTGTGAGAAGGCTGTGGTCGCCGGGCATTGAACACCAAGAGTTTGATTCTGACTTCCTTAATTTGCGACCAGTGAGCTGCTGTTGGCGGTGACCGGGGAGAACATAAGTGTAGTTGACTAATGGGACAAGGGACGATCTGTGAGTGACGCTTGAGCAGTGGGGACAGTAGAGCAGGTAGACATCAAGAGAGAAAGCAGTAGTATTGTCCGTTCATGATTCATCAGTGGGTGCGATACTACTCGGTTGCCCAGGCCGAAGTACAGGGTTGTCTTAAGGGGCCCTATCCCGAGCCTTTGATGAAGGATCTAACCTACAAGGCAGCAGGGCGATACGAGGGCGTCGCGACCCGTTTTGAATCGGTGACCAAACAAGTAGTTCTTACGTCTTAAGGCTCTGCAAAGGACCAGGGGGCCAACACATCCTGAAGTTTCAATGCCATAAGGAGAGGCAATGGGCAGACTTTATTTACTGGCGAGTCACATCCGTCACGTTACAATGTTGTTAAGCGGACATATGTGACTTTATAGGGAGAACGCTTGCGAAGGCGAATACCCATCACATCCCGGAACAATGCCGCCGAACCATTCGCTGGAGCGGGATAATCCCGTACCACCCAGCTGGCAGTATGAGGTGATTGTTCGGCCAGCCAGCCGCTGGACCCTTCACGTCAACAACCAATGATTCTTCCTGTGAATGCATTTGCTAAACTAATGTCGCTGACACTCATTCTCTTGTCTACAACTATTGACATACTGCTCAAGCGCTTTCCGTTTTTCCAACATTTATCCATGTATATGTTTACGGTCTCATTTTGTTTTTTTACGATTAATATTTATTATTCGTGTTTTTTTCTCGACGGTTTGCAGCAGCAACCTTTTTGCTGTTTGGGTCCTGTTTGCCCAAACTCACAGTCACTGCGCTCAGGTGACACTTCTTTACATCGTATTGATCTAGCGCACGCAACATTTCTCATTACTCTTATTCTTTCCGTTTTCCATTAAATTCTGCTTTTATAACCAGCTGTTTCCAGATTTACAATATCAACTTCTGCTAACATCACTTTTCAGTTACTTGGCTTATTTTACCAGTTGTTGCTGGATTCCCCAAAACATGGTAGCTTTATTCATCCTGACATTCCTACTTTATTCAATTTTAGTAACCTTATGAGCGACCTGCCATCTATCATACTCCTGTGGATTATCATCTATTGATATTGATCAGTATACCTCATGGAATTGTCAGATACTGTTGAACGACTGGAGGGTGTAGACTCATTTGCTCCAGGAGGATTAGTGGTAAAAAAGAAAGCAGAGTTCAAGAAACCACAATGCTCTCTTCTTGGACTCGATAAATTAGCTGAACGGAAGCGCCAAGAAAGCATGGCAGTTGATTCAAAGCAAACAAATATGAACAAAGCAAGGTAATTAATAGTGTTAGGGTTAATTAGTACTGTTTATCTGTAGAACGTATCGAGAGCGCCGCGTCGAAACTCCGTCCAATCGTGGAGGTGTTACCAAAGAGTTTCTAGACTCAAGAGAACGCAGGCGGAAGCGTGAACGACATGAAAAGGAAAAAACAGGTTTGGTTGCAGCAACATCTCGGAAATCAAGGGATTCCTCCAGGAGCAACACTTATGAATATTTTGGTTAGTTTTAAAAAGCTAACCATTCATACTTGTCTTATTGTCCCGTATTTCTTGGCTCAGGGGTTGTCCCTTGATTTTTTTATTTTTTTGTTCTTAACCTACATTCTCCATAAGGATGAACCCTGTGCTGACCATTATATCGATTTCATTGGTTTTGTGTATTTCAAAAGCATTCTTAGTGATAGTTGTTCTATTTGTTTGCTCTGTTGTCATTGCTTAGTCAGGTTCTGATTAAATCATTGTCTGGAGGAGAATTTCATCCCGCTCACCGCTTTGTAGATTGTGCGCACCACTTACGTATTGCGTCCACTAATCGCTTTAGAAGATGCTCAGTTATGAGCTTTTCTGGGCGCCAAGAGGGTTGTTTGCTTCAGTAGCTTCCAACACCTGGATGCTTAACCCTTGCTCACTATTCCAGAGCTACTGAAGACTTTTTCTTTAGTTTCTAACTGACGGTACATTTCATCCCATTCACTAGTTTGACGGATCTCTTTTCGTTGGAATTAACATGTCTCTTTCGGTCTGCTCTTTGTGCAGCATATCCATTTCTATTAAAATCCCGCTCAAGAAATGGGTTTCCAGATCAGCATCTGAAGAAATTGTCAGAATGAAGCCATTTCCGAGTCAGTGATGCTTATGCGCTCAGTCTTTTGAATATAGCTGTCGACCTTCTATTTTACTTATCTACCTTTTCTGTTTGCCTTATTTACTGTTTTCTTTCGCTTGAGCTCATTTTTCCCCACTGGTTAACTTTTAGTATCTTAGCATCATGGCAATAGAGTCGGCGCACCGTGACTATTACGCGCCTGAAGCCAAAGTAATGTTCAACTGCACACCGACCGGCGATGGCTCTGGCTATTTACATCTACTTCTGGCACACATTAAGGAATTGACGAAATGCAGGTTGCAGTTCGACCACTTTAGATTGGCAGCTGCGCTGCACAGGTTTTGTTCGATAGGATTCACTCTCTACGACTATGCCGTATTCATATCCAACAGGATATATTATGCTGTCAAAGGTCATTGCTAGTGGGCAGGTGTTTTGCGCATATGCTTAGCATGATGTCTTTCCCCTGCATCGGTTACAAACGTTCACTGACTGCTATGCTATGTTCCAGCGTATGATGAAAGTTGATGAGTCTTGCACAGGGCAAACTTCCGAAATACGCATGTACGCAGCCCAGGTTTTCTTCGTTGATGTTGCACTTATTTCTACGTCTGTAGGATGATATCACAGAACATTGTCCTCAAGGCCTAGTGGCTTGCAATCAGTTAAACTAATCATTCACGTTGTTTACTTATTTCTAGGCGCTCTAATGAAGCATTGACATCATTTTTGCGCCTATTCACATATCACATGTGACAAATTTTTGCGAGTCGCATTCATTGGATTGAATGTGAAAGACATGGAGTTTCTGATGTAAAACAAATCAGTTGAGTTGCTTAATCCTTAGCATACCGCGGTTTTTATGACCAGTCTATTTTAATGTTTCCTTTTCTCAAAATGTCTGGTTTTCATTCAGGAATGGTTAAATCCTGTGTTAACATTAAATCTCGATAAAATTCGCCCCGTGGTTTGAGAACTGCATTATCCAACCCTTTTCGATATAGATGGCAATCGTCAAAGCTCTTTTCTAGGTCGGTGACCAATCGCCAAGTTAATCTCATCAGCTTTCATCTTCCATAACTTTGGGGATTACAGTCCGCACTTTATGTTTTCTTTCGATAGAAACGCGGCTTTGAGTACACTGTTTTCGGGTTTGACTACATCCATTTTCCTTCTATCTCAAATGGTATTTTGTTTATTGTGGGTATCTATTATCTGTTTTCCAACTCAGAGATTCGCTGCCTTTGTTGATGCTTATGTCACTCAGTGGCTTCGGATACCATAACTTCGGTCCATAATGTTTTTTCTTTTTTGTTACTGATGGACGAATTCCTGGGATATTTTGAGGAGATTCGTCGCAGCAATACCCACACCGCCACCGCATGTCCTGAAAAGGGTTGGCTAGCAATTTAGGCTTATTGACACTCACTAGTTGGGCGCATCCACCGGATTCTGCTGTAGCTTGACCCATGAACTTACTCTTACGGTGTTGGGCCATCGTTCTTGCTTACTGTCTGCAATATAGCGGTTCTCGTCCTCCACTGTCTTGCGTGTTATGGACATACGGAGGTAAGCATTCGCTCCTAGCTATTTCATTTTTTTGAAAGCCACCACCAATAGAGATGGTAAGTCAGCTGCCCAGTTGATCCCTGATTGTTAGAGAGTAGTATGAGGCATCTGGTGTTTTTTCCGCTTTCCAAAATTATTGATTCCCCTCTTCCCAATATTCCTACTTCTTCTTCGTTGCTTTCAGACAAGTCGATCGCGGTCACTGCTGATCGGGAATCTCAGAGTGTGCGACGTCGCCGTGAAGCTGACTGGGAAGAAGAAACGCCTTCTTATCGTGGCAGCCGTGACTCAAGCGATACTGGTCGCAGCAGCGTTGATCGATACGCTTCACCAGCTGACCTTCATACACCTATTGGTGGGTCGTCCAGGCAGTGGAGCTGGGATGATTCCGGCTTTGGAGGTAGTCGTAGTGGCACTCCCCGCACCCACTCAGACTCCGGACGCGAGCGTTATGTCTACACGCCATTGCCGACACCCACGTTTAAGCACAATTCATGGATGAAGTCCTCTGATGATCTGAATAGACCCTCTAAACGCGATCGTCATGGCCACCTATCCCAAAGAAAACGGACCGACACTGAATCACGCGAACGCTCATCAACTCCGGATAACTTGGAAGAATCTGAGGAAATGTTAGCCGAAAACGAACGCCTTGACCGGCACTGGTATCAGATGGACGAAGGTTACGACGATGAAAATAACCCGTTCGCAAGTATGTGTTTTGTTTGTCTAGACAGATCGCTTGCTTTTGAAACTTACGAAGAAATTAGTTTTTCCCAGGTTATTCCACTAACGTGTACTCTGCTATTACTGTTGCCAGATAGTCTACTCTAACCGCTTGTCAAGTCGAAGTTAGCAAATGCCGCGCTGTCCTAGCCCAGTAACACCAACAGTAACCATACATGTTTATTCTGTTTCTCATCCTGTGCTTTGATGGAAAACACAATGGGTCATATCTCACCTCCTTACACGATAGGTATAGCGCCTACGATTTTGTGCTTGGACTCCTGTTCATTCATGTTTGGACCAGCAACTCATGTAGTTGCGATCACGGTAACCCTAGCCACTGACACAGGCCGCCTTGATTGATTAGTATAAAGAATACTGCCTTTGGCGGCCTGTTTAGTGTAGCATAAATTCTTTTTCGCAACGCGCCAAACTTCCATCTTCTAATCGCTTATTGTTTGAACTCGCTCTCTTCGTTTCTTGACGCACAAAGTTACACTTGTCTCCCATTATCTCTAGACATTCCTGAGGCATACGCTGCCAAAAAAGAGAAGCAACTGGCAGAGCGGAAAAAGCGAAACAAACAAAGACTAACAGCTCAAGCAGTCCAAGTACACAAAGACAATCTAGCTTGGGAACATAATCGAATGTTGCGATCGGGGATAGTACAGCGTCTAGACTTCGACGAGGATGAGGACTTCAATGAAGAGGGTGAGGCTCGCGTCCACTTATTAGTCCGTAACATACTTCCCCCGTTTTTGGACGGTCGTATTGTTTTTACTCGACAACCTGAGCCGGTGATCCCTGTTAAAGTGAGTCGACTCTCTTTCCATCCAGATTACCAATAGTCTATTGATTTCTACTTTCCCCTTTTACGTCGTTCACTGAACTTTCTTCTCTTAGCGGTTGTTTTGCTTATCAATGCACTCATGTGGGTTTCTCAGTTGGGGCTCCCAGGTACTTGTCTTACTGTTTGCTTACCACAAGTGCACGCCATCGTCTCTTGTTCAGTCGCAGTTTACTATTGACAAAATTCTACGGATTCCTACGGGTTCACGCAAGTATGATGGTATGCATACGATAACTCACTGGAACAAATCAGTGTCTACTATTGTCTCGACTTTCCAGAACTCACCTTGCAATTTCACGGAATTCATGGCCAGCTGATTTAATGTCATGGCACAAACCACGAAGGTTGTACCGGTCCGTCCATAGAGAGCACTTAGTTTGTCAGACCTCGCTATCAATGCTGTACATCCGTGTACTTCTGCGGAGCCGTCAGTTGATAAGCATTAGCTTTCTTGCTAATTCTGCTGTGGCTCAAACTGCTTTCATGTTCCATTCCCCCGTGTATATCGATAAAGTCACAGATAGCTCTTCGTCGCACGCACAAATCTCCATCGTCGGCGACAACAGCAGTACGCTAATACCTTGTGCTTTCACTTCGTTGCCATACATCAGGAGATTAATAGAAGCAACTCTGTCGACGCGGAATAAGAAGACAAAGGTAGGGGTTTACTTTAGCGTCCAAGTTCTCTCGGCGAATGTTCAAGGTACCGCACGGATATCGTGCTACTACTGAAGATCTTATGATTTCACCGGCTTCTACTGCTGTGTGACCTAACCAGCGTTGTCCCGCAGACAACTCAGCGCCCAACACACTAATAAAACCACTGCAAACACGCCCCTGATGATGGTTGTGAGCCATGTCCTTTAATGTCTTGAACGAGGCGCTGCGTTGGACGCACCGACCACCATAACCCAATTTCCAGACCAACATTTGGGGAACAAACCAACGCACTTTTTGGTGAGTGACGAGCGTGTATTCTTAGCAGGTGCTCGAACCAATGCAACTTGTCTACTCTTAGTTGTTGGTTTAACGATCTACCCTATTCGTCACTGTCTAGTACAAAGCTGCGCATGCCGTTTTTTGCGAGCGGCCTCGTTTCACCCACTTTGATCGATGCTCCACATGCATCGATGTTCGAGGATTTGCATTTCCCCTAGACCATCCGACAATAGGGGCCGTATCCCGCTGTCGCACAGCAGTGTAGTTCTCCATGTCGTCCTTTAAGAGCAATGGAAACACACTACGCCGCATGCACCACAGCTTCATGAACACAGCCATCGTTTTACAATACGCGAACTATCTCGGCAGTCACTTGCTCATCGCTACCAGCGCAACTTAAGCTGGCTGGATCGACCCCAGATCTCTAATTTCTCTTCTCTAAGGATCAAATGACTGGCAATTGGCCATTGACTTAGGAGAAGTTATTTTCACTCCGGAGATGCAAAGCGCATGCTTTAAAATGGGACTGATTCTAAATGTCGTACATGGGCCTCGTCGCATATTCTGTTTGGACAGCTGGACCATGTCACCTGCATAATGTCTGTAGTCTAGCTTTATTCAGAATGACACCACAATCCCGGTCTCTTTGGACCCTTTAAGGTGACAGTTAGTGATTTAGTTGGAAATGAAATTGAAGGGGATAGAGGAGTTGGAGTAACACTGAAAAAACGCTACTTCTTGTCGGATAGACATGATCGCATTACTTAAGCGTCGTATTACTGGACACGAAAGTTGTTCGCATACTTCATGGATAGACATTTCTAGGCAAGGAGGTATGATAGAACCAGCTGATCGACTGGCGCGATTCCACCACAATTTTCCACTTCACTAACCTGCGTCCACCGGATTGTTTGCTCCACTGAAACCATGTGCTACGGATGGTGCACAACAGTCCCAGATTGCTACGATTGCTGGTGTAACTATCCTCTGGTCTTCTCGAAGCCATCATCTGAAATCACTTATTCATCACTCTAAATCGGATTCCACGTAGCAGTGTCATCCTGGCACTGGCTTATAGGACGAACGAATCGAATCCCGATTGGAGGTAAAACAAAGATGTCAGCAGTACGCCGGTATACAGTACTGACGCTTTGCTGCCGCGCAACCACCATAAGTCGCATTTGGGCTACAAATACTGCGAGAGTCTCCCGGTCCCATACTCAATCCCGATTAGAGACGTTTCTGTTGTTTGATAAAAGACATTCGCAACCACCGGTTATTTTTTGATGTCAACGATCGGCCGAACGGATTACGCGCGCACCTTTTAATCCGGAGGTCACTGGTTCGAATCCGCTTACGCACGGGCGATCTCGCGGTATACTCAATTCACGCGCGACCCTTAATATTTACGTGGCAGCAAAACGTCGCTTAGGTGTGCCGATGACTTTCCCTACCCGAGCCATCTTTAGATGCTGTCTGTTATTAGCTCATAAGACAAATGGAATGTATACATCACTACTACGCGACCAGTGTTGCTGTGTGAGTCGGAGACATGGCCGCGTGGCTTTGTGCACATTGTTAGACTGACAGACTCCGGCCACACTTGTCTTCGAAGAATGGCTTACACACAGTGGTGCCACCTCGTGATGACTTCTCTTATCGTCAAGTATTAAAATATTCAGCCCCCCATAACAGTTTGAACAAAGTTCGGTAGATGCATGCATTTCATATCGTCTTTTCAGTGCCAATAACGATAACTTCGGATTAATTACAACTGTCAGGTGACGCGAACCCGCAAACGAACAAAGGGAACAAACGGAATTCTTGTCCCTTCGTCCAGAACAACCTGAGGCCGACCGATGGTTGATTATGAACACAAAGCACTGTTTTAATCTGGCTTATCTCAAACCCTCGGCGAAACACAGAGGTCGGGGGTTGGTATGCCACAGTACCACCTTGAATGACGGGCGAACCTCGATACGGTCGTCTGAGGTCAATACGTGTCCGCCGATCTAATGTACTGGACTTCTGTGTGATCGCGGAGCCTGAGCTGGTCATGCTAATTGCGCCCTCTCTTATTGGATCTACTTTGAAACGTGCGGCTTCATTCTGGAACTCAAGGTTCTATCGGTTCCGCCTGTGTCACTGGCTCCGCTGTTACATACGAGTTGGTGCACACAGTTGGAGTTGGCTCCGACAGACTGGGTTTCATCCGGTGGGGAAATCGGTAGCTTGTGGCTTCAGTTTATAAAGATGACTACAGCGGCACAGATGGTGTTGTGCGTGGCAGAGGTCAGATTCCTGGTGATCCTCAGTGCAGCAATGTCACCTTTAAGGGATAGCTCCAAGAATACATGCTCTTTAGATACGTCGGGCACTAAATCACTCAATCGGCTGATTCGATTGTGCTTCTTGATGGACCTACAAGGGTAACTATTTACAATTAGTGTATCTGTAATCATTTTCAGTTCGTCGGTCTGACGATCGGTCGAACATGTTCATCTGGTACGACTAAATAACCTCTTCACAAGCGTCCGCTGTTACCTCATTGCTGTGAGGCTGGTGTTGTCCGAATCACGTTGTTTTTCTAAAGACGGACCTCTTAACCTATCCGTTTTCTTGCGGATAGTGAAAACATTCAATAACGGAGGCCGCTCTGCCGGTCAACTTTGCTAGTGACCCTCAAATTGGTATGTGCAGCTTTTTATACGCACGATCTACTGTCCTGATGAGCAAAACGCTAGATATCATCAGTTAGCTCTTCACATTTTCACACTATTCCGAATTAAACACCAAAAAATTTCTCCGCAAAAATTCTAGCCCAGCCAAAGAAAAATCAAAAGTCCACCGACCTTGATCACGAAAAACGTGTTAACAAAAGCGCTGCCAAACGTAGCCAAAACGCCGTCAAAACGCTATACAACTACGCCATATATATAGGGGGCCCAATGACCGGTTTCTAGAAAACGAAGATCAAGTGATAAAATTAGCAGCCTCCTTGCCAAAACTCCCTATGCTGGCGATCACGTGAAGGAGTAGAAGGTTCCGGAATCTTCGAAATCAATGCACGATCTCATATAATCGATTATTTGACAAAATAATGGGTTTTTCTTTATGTTTTTACCTTTTCCCGGATATTATCCACATAGTGTTTGTAGTAGGGCAGTTGAGCTATTTCGTCGGATCTGCTTCGTTCCCACCATCAGCATGAAACAATCAGCTAATATAGGGCCCACTGGGCTGCCAATAGCTATCCCATCCATTTGAAGATACGGCGTGTTTCGGAAGTGTAATTCGATATTTTTCACGCGCAGCATCAACCAATATCGATGGCAGACATCCGGGACATTCTGTTAATTCATATACATGGTCACCCGTTTGGTGCAGTGGGATATTAGCAAACAACAATTCCACATCTAGCGAACACTACTTTATTGGACAAGTTTATCTCCTTGGAACCTTCTATAAGCTCAACTGTGATCACGCCTGTACTGGTGTGTCTCATTTCATCGAGAATAAAACTATTTATTTATTTATTTACTTTCTTGGGCCGTTAAATTATGCGCTTGATGACGATAGCACTTTTACGAACCAGCGAGCTGGTTTATGTTGGGGCACGTTTGCTATGGCGTTGACCATCCACACAGTTACGGTGTAGTTGAGCCACGTGGATTGAACTCTTACAAATTGCACTGTCGTTTACACGATACTGAAGGAGTATTTCTAGATGGCAAATACTACGAAACTCGAACACCATCATTTTTACCTTCTCAAGCCGTTTAAACTTGTTTGTGTCATCCAGTATGACGCCCATCTTTTTGAGGTATTTTTCTTTTTATTCATGACTACCATTTTCGTGCGATTATCCGGCTTCATTACAAACACATCTTTAGCATGCTGTTCGCGTAGCACTCGCAGATGATAACTCGTTAGCGCGCATCCTTCTTTTATTGTCACTTTCATATGCAACGTCGGTCTGCTTGTTTCTAAACCTTACGAGCTTGTCACTAATTGGCCGAAGTTCTCACAACTGATCGAGGAGGTTCTTAAACTGAGCTTCAGTAAACAACCCATTTTCAAAGGTTTTAGAATACAAATCAGTTTTCTATAGGCTTATATTGTGACAACGTTTCGCCGTTGACACAAGAGCTTCTTTAGGCCAGGTGAATTAGTACAGATTTGGATTGGCTTTTTATAGCAATTACAATGGTGATAGTGAGAGATAACTTGGATCAGTGTTTGAATGTGGTTACAGTTTCAAAGGGTCAAGTGGTCAATCTGGTGGAACAATAAGCATGGAACTGTCCTAATTGAATCGTGTACTAGGTCATTCACATGTGAGACATTGTTAAACTTGCTTTCGGTTCCAATGATGATAGTTCGACGTTTCCGCTTTAACTTGAGTCCGTCCGCCAAAGTTGCTGTGATTGGCCGTTCAAGAAAGCAAATCACGCTTTCGATGGTTCCACACCGTCTATTCTGTGTACGCAGTTAGTGGCCTTAGTAATTTCTAGCGCCTCAGTAATTAATCTGGCTTGTTGCTCTTACTCCCCTTCTGATGATCTCTACATTGTCCCAGTCGATTGCGTGTCCTAAGTCTAACGCACATACCTCTATCGCCGAATTTTTTAGTAATGCCTTGTATTCAGGCTCAGTTCTTTTTGGACGCAAAACGTAAATTTTGTGTTCTGCCATCCTAGTGCGTAGTCCTCTCGCTGTTTGACCTATGTACACTTGCACAGTCTCTGCAACCAATTTTATAGACGCAGTTGGTCATCCTAGCTTTTGATCATGTATCCTTCCAACGCACCATTGTTGAACAGAGCTCTGAAGGGCTTGAGCTTGTTTGCCTAATAGTTCCAAGATCTAACTAAAATAACCACGTATACGAACTCATCCCGATAGGAAAGCGACTTCTACACGTTCGCGAGCAATTTCGAACCATAGATTGACACTATGAAGCTGCTTGATAAAACAAGGAGAAATTCGTCTTGTGGGAAATCTAGAACGACTAGTTCTGGCCGCATAGCTTGGCCATTTACTTTCGTTGATTTCGAGGTTTAATGTGGTGTGTCTACCTACCCGGCGATTTCATCGACTGCAGTTGCTTGTGTGCTCCATTCTCCCCGGGCTATCATAACAATTTATTCAACAGACCATGAAGGTGTGATTTCACACCCCTCTTCCAATCTGGCAGTTATACCTCGTTTATAATTCTCAGCTTTCTATCCGCTAGATTACACTCCACCATGCTCACTGGCATCGTCGGCCCTAACAGATGGCTATAACAATTTGCAATTTTAAAGTGTATTTTTCACCTGAAAATTTGTAACCTCTGTTTACCTCGTCGATCACCGGATTTAACTTCTTTTTAGGACCCGGATAGCGTGATGGCTAAAGTGTCTCAAAAAGGTAGCGCAATGGTTCGTTATTTTCGTGAACAAAAGGAGCGGAAACGCGCTCAAAAGAAAGAATGGCAATTGGCTGGAACACGTATAGGTGAAGTGATGGGTGTGAAAGCCCCAGAGGAACCAGAGGATAAGTGGAGCGCCGATACCCATCGACAGACCCAAACGTTTGCCGATAAGATGGGCGATATGAAGTCGGAGGCTGCAAGCGACTTTAGTGCACACAAATCGATTACTGAACAAAGACAGTATTTACCCGTTTTCTCAGTGCGCTCTTCTCTACTCCGAATGATCAAAGAGCACCAGGTGGGTTTGCGAAACCTTGCGTTGTCTTTGTCTTGATTACTGGTTGTACATGTCCTACTAAAGCGTATGTATTGCATGGCTCCCCAACTAAACACGTTATGTTTGGGCAATCAACCTATCTCCTGTGTTTCTGATGTGTTGTATCTAATTTCTTGTTTTGAATCATAAATTGTATAAATACATTTAGTGAACTCATTTGTTGGCCTGCTTCTTCGTTTCTGTAATCCGAATACATCAATTGAGGTATGCACTAACATTTTTGCAGGTCTCTAAGCTATTCGGCGTGCGCAACTTATATAACTTTCGTTTCTAATCGTCACCATCTTTATCATCCCTTTTTATTTCCTTGATTTTCACTCAGTTTCGCTTGTTACCACCGTAGTTTGAACCTTGTTCGTTTGTTAACCAGATTGTCGTGATTGTCGGTGAAACAGGAAGCGGAAAAACTACTCAACTTACGCAGTATTTGCATGAGGATGGCTACACCAATTACGGCATTGTTGGCTGTACGCAGCCGCGCCGCGTGGCCGCCATGTCTGTTGCTCGTCGCGTTGCGGAAGAAATGCGTACACGTTTAGGCGATCAAGTCGGTTATGCTATCCGTTTCGAGGACTGTACTTCACCGTCTACTCTGATCAAATACATGACGGATGGTATTCTCCTGCGTGAATCCCTACGAGAATCCGACTTAGACCCATATTCCGCAATAATCATGGACGAAGCTCACGAACGTTCATTGAACACGGATGTTTTGTTCGGGCTGCTGCGCGAGGTCAGTTGATCTCTTTCCTTTCATGTTAATACGCATTTTTTGAATTATTCCCAGAGCTTGGCATGGGTGCACTGATGATGTTACCTAATACGGTAATGATGCGTTCACAAATAAACTGCTCATTTCGGTGTGCATCCGCTTCCTCATCCTGTGCTTGTGCCATTAGGCCATAATTCATGGTGGTGGGCAATTACAATCTGTTCCTAACTGCGTCATAACATCGCTCATCCTCCACAGTCATACATGCTTTTTACGTGCAGAGTTGAGACCCAGGGCTATGATTTGGCTTGCAATCTACCACCAATATGGGTACCATGTAAGCTGCTAGGGGGATTGTTTTTCGTTGAAACAATAGCTCTTGGGAGCCAGTCGCATCCTCTCCCCTTTCTTGACATCTATGACAGTGGAGGATGAGCCGCGCTATATCGCAGATAGTGATTGGCCAGTCGTCACCCATGGCCTAGTTTCGACTTAGGCACATGTGTCATGGGTTCGACTTTCTGGAGAGTCGGGGGACTGTGCGCCTCTGACCAGTTCAAGTAGGCCGCAACATCAATCAAGCACTCATTCGGCTGTGCATTTGGTCATCTGACTGTAAACAGACTGCGACAAATTCCCACAATTTGCAATAGTTGTGGATTTGTTCTACCGAGCAACCGTCTATGCGCTTCCAGGGCATATACATTATTACTTACTAGTTGACTTATCCCTATATTGTTCGATTGACAACATTTGCCTTAGTTCACGATTGTCACTATGGACGTTCGAATTTCCACACGTAATGCCGCTGCTCACTTCACCTGAAGTACTGATAGCTCGAAAGGCTTATTGGGTGGTTGTGGTGTTCGCCGAGTTGGGCAACTTGGTTGCAGACGTTTCATCAACATTTCACCACACACTGAAATTGTCGCATCAAATGGTGTTGAAGCGTCTGCAACCAAATTACCCAGCTCAATGAACGCCCCTACAGCTGAACACTACTCACATCTTCCACCTTGCATTCTCCTGGTGAATTTTGCCACTTTGTCCAGGACTGCAGCGTCCACTGGCTAATCATCACTAGTCATAATTAGATGCGTCGATTCCAATTAAAAACCCTTTTCTTGTCGAACCGTAATACACTGAACATCGTTGTCTTTCTTTGCGTTTCTGTGGTCGTGCCCTAACTTTTTAGCTTCCACAGTATCAATTATTTCATCACATTGGGAATGTGATACCGTGTGTGCTGCTTACTGAAGCTAAGTTGCAAGTACTTTTTATAGCTTACAGTGCTTCTTATCTGCTACTTAACCAGGCCGCATGGTCAATTTATCCCTCACTTGATACCCTTAGGTTGTCAGTCGCCGCAATGATCTTCGTCTTCTTATCACCTCTGCTACAATGGATGCCGATCGTTTCGCCCATTTCTTCGGTGATTGCCCCGTTTTCCGTATTCCCGGTCGAACGTTTCCTGTGGACATTCAGTTCAGCAAAACAACGATCATGGATTATGTGGACTCCGCCGTGAAGCAGGCCATACAGGTTCATTTAGCTTCACCGACCGATGGTGAGTGGTTTGGTCCGGGATGACGAACGCCTCTTTGAACGACGGTTTTACCTCAGTCCAACTTTTATTTGTTGGTCGAAATTCCAAATGTCCTTGCCATTCCTAATTTTTTCGAGTATCTTGGTTTGCTCAATAGACGCTGGCTATTTACTGTATTCTGACCCTAGCTTGACTCGATTACTGGCCCGTACCGCCGATAGACAGTGGAACTTCAAATGACACTGTGTAATAGAACATTTATTTCCCCCACCTTATAGCATACACTCCACTGATCGTAGAAATGTATTCCGATGTTACCTAGCACGTCAGGTTACATTGTCATGGGCAAATGATTATTTTCAGTAATGTCAAGGGTACATGGTGCGAATTATAGGTAAGTTTACTGCATCACAACATATACAGAATGCATAAATGTAGCAAATACGTTTAAAACAGCACTGAGATACTCGCTGCTAACTACTGACTGCAGCTTGACACTGGGAAACGATAACTTCACCGAGATCGTCGCTTATCTGATTTAACGACCTCAAGCTGCAGAAACCAGCAAAAGTCCTCACCATAAAAGGCGTGTACTTGCCACTTATCGCTGCTGCATGACTGAGATGTCTTGGTGAAAGCGCTCCCCATGCTCATCGCTGACAGATCCCAAGTTCTCGGGGAAAAAGTCAAGGTGATTATGCAACAAGTACGATTAGAGTGGCATTCGAGCATCAAAGGCCCAATAGTCCGCAATTAGTTTTTGTGATGTCTTCGTATTTCTCTGCCTTTGTTCTTCCCAAAAATTTTGCACACACTGCTTTGAATGAATGATCTCCACGTTTCTAACTCAAGTAAAGTCAACTGGCACTCGAAAGCATTGTCTGCCATTATCCAGCGAATATCAGGCCCGATAAATATCCCTTTTTCGAGCATCGCATCACTGATCTTGGTAAACACTTGTTTCAGATACTGGAACGCAAAACCATTTCCCTTGAGGGCTTTGACGAAGTTTTTAATCAAACCAAGCTCGATATGCAGGGGTAGTAGATAGATATAATCAGGTTGTACAAGCGGTGTATGCTTTACACTCATTTTCCCTGCAGCATACTCTGTCCTCTCTGGCGACTTTTCGCTTGTGTAGTGCTGCTGAGTTGCTTTACTGTCCCATAAACACATGAAACAGCAATAGTTTATGAAGCCTCCTTGCATACCCATTAGGAGTCCAGTGACTTTGAAGTCAGCGCAGATTTTCTACCAGTACTTATTGTAGTTCAGTGAATTGTTGCATAGTTTCGTAAGTCCCATTCATGTTGGACTTGCAACAGTGGCATAGTTGGGTACACATTTCCATTGTGTGGCAGTATGGCCTTAAGACTACTCTTGGACCAGTCAATGAACAAACGCCTTTCATCACTGATATGTCTCATGCCAAGCTTCTTCATCAATCCTTCCATGTCGGAACAGTAACAGAAGGGTTCTCACTTGTCATAGAATCCGGACAATTTAACACTTCGCTTTATGTATGCAATAACCTTAGTGTTTGCAGCAGGCAACTGCCACTGCTGCAGCCGAGATGCCAGCAACTAGGCCTTGTCTTTAGGCAAACCCAGTTCGCGTACCGAGTCATTCAGCCCTAATTGTTCAATAAGAAGTGGATCGACAAACTCAACTTCAAAGTTTTCACAAATGTCACAATCAGGGGCACTTGACGATGCGGAATCACTACTCATCATCAGTAACAGATTCACTGTAGGCACTGGAATTGGTAAGGTGCCATCATGTGGAAGAGGTCGAATAGCTAATGGAAGATCGGGGTAATGCATTTCGTCCTTGTTTCGGTTGGAGATTCCAATGACACTGGTTAGGCAGAAGTTGCAGTTTGTCGTGTGATCTTTCGGCTCCCTCCACGCTATGGGAATTGTCCTTGAGCCACTGAATCAGCTGAAGATTGCACGACACACAAAGAATATGCAGCGCCCACTTCTTATCCTGATCTGCCAGTTTCATCCCGAAATATGCGTGGTAGGCGGACTTCACTGGTGAAGAAATGGCTCTGCACTGCGAGTAGTAAACTGTTCACAAACGTAACAAAAATGCTTTCGGTCATTGACACAACAGCGTCTTTCAGTCATGCTCAAGATATCTATTAAGGAAACATAGCTCTCAATCGACTTTCAGTATCCCATGTATATCCTAGCCAAGAGGACTTCTTTTCCACGATTACAGGGAGCCAGTGAACCAATCACAGGCGAGCATTCGATGCATAGAACGCATTGCACAACTGAAATGAGAAATTGAAAATAAATTACCCCAACGCGATAGAAGCATTTGGTTTACATATTCGTAATAAGCTCACTTGGTGCTACTGGAAACATCCTATCTCATTTCTGTTATAAAAATGATGTTGTGCATTGTAATTAGCTGCCCGTCGTCGGTAGATGTTTCAATTGGAGATGATGCAGGTGTCCACCTTCTCATGTCATTCTTAAGTGGTATTCACCGGGGATAAAACGAATATTAAGATGGCTCGACCAACTCGGTTCTCTTGCGCTGTGCCTCATCTAAAACAAAGGGGCACTGTTGATTGTACTAAGTGTATGTGCTATTCCGTTCGCATTGCCAAAGTACTGCTTGTACTGCTCATGACACGTCCTGCACGGCATTGTTCACCTTATGCAAGCTGCAAAATTGTCACTGGTTCCTTTTCATCGCAGTATGCCCGCCTCTCGTATTGCGCACCATTGTTTCGCTGCTCCGTTCGGTGTTTAATTTTTCGCCACTCTTTGTTAAACTCCGAATTAAAATCGGACACACCAAACTAGAGTACAAACTTTTCTTATTTTATTTCAAGGTTTGGGTCCAGCTTTTGAACTCGTGTTCCGTTCAGTCGGTGTCGCCAATCGTCTTGCGAATTCCTTTCAGTGTTTACTCCGCGCCTTTTTCTTGGGACATCTACACAAGCTCACACTGTCCACTAACCTCTTTTGGTATATGTGTCCCACTGACTAGATCCTCAACGTGGTCATTCGAGGATGTGACTAGAAGCCTAAGACGACAGACGAGTTTGGTATATACCATCTTCTTGGAGGAGGGGGACTTTGGAACCGACCGCACCAGCAGCCAGACCCTTTCCTGTGTAACGCATCAGGAAAATCACTCTCTTTACCTTCTGCATAATCGATGCTGTTGTTCTGTTATTAGTTTCCCCTTCATTTTGCTCTTTGCACTTTCCCCCCCAACTTTTTGACTTTATCATCATGACGTCGCGGATCATAGCAATTGGGCTGCTCGCACTTCGGTGCCGGAATCACTTCGCCCAATTCATCTTCCCTATCCCAGTCACTTCCATTCGACACCTGTGCCGCGTATCTGAGGGACCGGATGATTCCAGGGTCTCGACATAGTTCACGTGAATAGCGTCTGCAGCACCATCATTCATTCACATTCAATGTTCGCACTCTTAGACAAACAGGTCAACAGGCTGCACTCGTACGCACCTTGGACACACTGGGTATTGATGTGTGTTGTGTGTCCGAAACTAGGATCAATGACCCTAACGGGGTTATTGAATTAACTGCACCCAGCTTGTCCTCACGTTATTGGTTGCACGCATCCGGAGACGCCGATGCAGCACTCACGAGTCAAGCTGGTGGAGGTATCATTCTAAGCTCCAAGGCTGAGCCATCGTTGGTTGGTTGGATTCCGGTGAACAGCCGTTTATGTGCAGCCCGTTTGACGACATCAGCTAAGGTTGATTCACGAAGTAGTACGAAACGCTGTTTGTTTGTGATTTCCGCTTTTGCTCCCACCGACTGCAGTTCAAATACCGTCAAGGACACATTCTAGGACGAACTGAACGCGCTACTACGCAGTGCTACTAGTTCAGATATTATAGTACTTGCAGGGGATATGAACGTACGAGTAGGGCGTCTGAGCTCTTCAGAAGCTCAGCTGGGTGGTAAGTATGGGCTTAACTCCGAACGGACTGACAACGGAGGATGTCTGCTGCAACTGTGTGTGGAGCACCAGTTGTTTCTTAGTAGCACTGCTTTTAGACACAGTGGGCGCCGGAGTGCCTCTTGGCGTCCTCCTGTAGCTGGCCAGCGATGGACCCAAATTAACCACCTAGCCATAAGTTACAGGTGACGTGGTTCCATCCTGGATTGCCGTTCATACTGGAGTATCTGTGTCGACTCTTATCCTGCCTTGGTACGCTGTCGTTTCTCCATGAACTTTACCGGGAGGCGCACCAAGTGTGTACTACGATTGGCCACGGAGAAATTATCTCGATCGATCGATTCTGTTCGGAATACTTGTGCGGAAAGGTGTTCCCACGAAATATGTGAACATCCTTCGTGCTCTATACTCGAACACTACAGGCCGCGTCAGGGTTTACCGTGTCCTATCGGATAGCTTTCCGACCACAAGTTGCGTTCGTCAGGGTTGTCCGATTTCCCCATTTTTGTTCATTTTCGTCGTGGATTCTATCATTTAGTGTTCTCTTGCGGAATCTCACGATGTAGGCGTTGAAGTGCTGCCTAGTGAAAGGTTAGTTCTCTAGTTTATACGGATGATATCGTCTTGGTTTTCGACGATGTTGGGGCGACCCAATCAACCCTGAATAGCCTGTCCAGAGTGGTCCCATTATATGGTATACACTTCTCACCTTCAAAGTGCAAAGTGTTGCTGCAGGATCAGCAGCCATTTTATGACTCCTAAACCCTTACTAACGAGGTGGTTGATCATTTCACTTATCTTGGCAGCTGCTTCAGCAATGATGTGCGCATAGAAACTGACGTCAGCTCACGCATTCCAAAAGCCAGAGCTACCTTCTTGAACCTGCGGCATCTTTGGCGACAGAAGGGAGTTTTCATTCGTCTGAAAGGCCGTGTATACAAGGCCACAGTGAGGGCCGTTCTTCTCTATGGTAGTGAGACTTGGCCCCTTCGGTCTGAAGGCTGAGGCGCCTTCAAGTCTTTGATCATCGTTGTTGGCGAAGCATTGCTTGAGTCGGATGGCCCCTGCGTGTCCGCAACGAAGATGTGCGTAGGCGAGTACTAGGTAATGATAATCATGCTAGCTCCCTAGAACAGCAGATAGCACTGAATAAGTTGCGTTGGCTCGGGCACGTACTACGTATGCCTGGTCACCACTTACCTAGGAGGGCCTTGTTTAGTCTGCCAAGTGTAGGGTGGCGCAAGGCTCGAGGTGGACAGAACTTGACTTGGAAACGGGAAATGAAGATACTGACGACCAAACTGGGCACCATTGGTCCGTCTCGACCTCCGGGCTGGAGTCCACGTGACTCGCCTTGTGCTTGGCTCGAGACTTTACAGGACACCAGTGGCGCGTCTGCTGCCGTCTTCTAATCGGATCGCCTGTTTAAAGTGTGGTGCTGGGTTATCTGCGGGGTAATTGCTGATTATGACGCGTGACAGTGAAAGTTGCAAGGAAGCTGTCTCGCCGATGCCGCCTTATCTTTGCACGATAGCCAGCTGTTTGTGACGGTATGTTGTCTACACAAGGTGTAGGCGCCTTGACCTTGAATGTTTGCTTAGGGCATTAAGGTTTTCAGGTAAGTCCCTCTTCTCTCCCTCTTCTTGTTTTTTTATTTCATAGGTCATCATGGTTGTTTGGCTGCGAAGCATCAGTTCAAATGGCTGATGTACTGCTGTTGATGATGATGATGATGACCATCACTGATACTATAGCTCTCAGTGTCGATTACCATGAGAGATAGGTAATTGGTGATGGTGCATGCTTTCGGTTATGTATTCGGTACTACGTGTGTTTGAAGGCTGCAGGCAGCACACGAGTGTGGCTCACTTATTATGACACCCAAGCCCTCTGAGTCCAGCACGTCTAATGAAAGTAAATGTTGAAATTTCATAGAATCATCTTCGGAATTCTCCATGGTAGTTCTGACGTTTTTCTTCATAATAGCGTTGACTGACTGTTTGTTTTGATGGACACTGTTGCGATTAAGTGGCAGGTTCTCGCGCTGGACCCGGGACTATATCCATCCCACTTGTGCACTCCCCTGTACTAGCGCGTTTTTATTATTATCGCCGATTGGGATATCGTCCATTTCGGCATGCACATTGTCTTTAGTCTTTTATTGGAGAAAACGTTATGGCTAGTTTGGAGAACACTGAAGACGATTTTGCACTTTCCACTAGCCAGAACTAGACGGTTAAGCCGTTGAAATGAATGATATATACTCGTCGCACGCAAGCTCGTTAATTCCCGTCCTATTTCTTGTGAATACACTCAAATGGGTCTCATTTGCCTCCTCCCTGTGCATTCGCTGTTGCGTCGTTCTACGCTCCACTCTCAAGTCTTAGTGTTTCTTGGGACTCCTTCATCGGCTGCTCTAAGGGTTGCTTTCCGATGCACTGCTTTATCACGGTCCTCCCAATTTTACCCACCTTCCAGTTTTGTTACATTAATACGAATTTCTCGTCTACAATTTGAACCATCTTAGCAGTATTCAGCTCGCTAAGAGGTCAGTTCACAGACCGTCAATTGTTTTGTCATTGCGACTTCATCTTACCCTAGTTATCAAGAGTGCTAGAGTATTGTCGAACTGTGGTCGAGCGTTCCCGCTCTAGTTTTTAAATGCACAATACCTTAACTCCGGCGGAGCAGCTGTTGTATTAGCGGTTGTTACCGTGTTTTCTCTCAGGCCCGTTGCCTAAAGGTACCGAGGTTGTCTTGTAATCTGACGGCGCGGGTTCGAGCATGCGTAGGAGCAGGTCGACATTCACAGTATCCTTAGCTCACGTGCGACCGGTGGTTTTGCGCCGCAGCGAAGTGTCGGTATGTCACATCCAAGCGAAATCAGAACAGCAGTATGGTAGTAGCAAAATCTTAGTAACAAACGTAAAGCAATACACTCCACTCAGCACATATGAGCACGTACAAAGTGTTTGCCACGAGAGTCCCATGAACGCTAGAACGATTTCCAGTTCGAAGCGAATCAATGGCGGACACTAATTGGTTGGCACTCAAGTACACGCGTTCATACGCAGCAGGCTTTCCGGCTGAATAGCAGTGGATGGATTTGACATGACCAATGACCGTAAGACGGTACTGCGTACTGGCTTACTGCTGATGCCTTTCTCTTCTTTCTTTTCTCTCCTATCTTTGTCTTCCACGGTGATGTGCCTTGAACCTTGAGATTTTCTTTCCCTTCTTTTCAGGTGATATTCTAATATTCATGCCCGGGCAGGAGGATATTGAGGTGACCTGTGAGCTGATAGCAGGTTTGTGCCTACGGTTTGTTAATAGAATAATCATCCACCCTTCACTTTACCTCATCTCACCGGTCTCCGATCTGCTGACCGTTTTTATTCCATCATTTTACAAGTACTTCCTACCGATTCATCGCTTTATCTATGAGAATAGATTCTACGAGTTACAAGATACTCTGTGAAAAGGTTTTAGGTTACAGCTATCATTATTACAATCTATCCTTTTTCTCGCTTTTTCTTACCTATCCTACTGTGAACCGCTCTTCGATATTGTTAGGTGCTCAACCCCGTTCTCCCTTCACTTAGTGTTTTATTTACTGCCACGTCACACTATCTCGCGTCATTAGTTATAAGCATCCATTTGAGGTGATTGAAGTGTTGCTTTTCCAACCGAAGTGGGGTGTCTTGCTCTCATAGGTTCAGGGCAACTATGTATCGAATCGAGTTACTGGATTCGAATCCATTTACTTGTAAAAGCAGAGTAAATAAATCAGACAAGCTGAAAACACTGCTGTCTGGTAATGAAAACGGAAACCGCCTACATGCACAGCTTCGACACTGTTCTTTCCACAGTTTTACTGCTCGATCCGTTTTGTCCTGCTTTGAAGTCTTGAAGTAAAGATGGTGTGAGCTCAGAATGAAATCCGGCACTTGGCACATGAAGGTTTACGGCCTGATCATTAGACCGTTAGCTCCACTGGCAACGTTTGCTCACACTGAGTTTTTGAGGAGCTCATTGGCCTGGTGATCAAGACGTATGTTGTCAACCACTACATTCGGGTTCCACTCTTAATTCAGGCTGTCTACTTGAAGCGTCCACATCAGGATTAAGCCGGTCCTAGAGTACTGTGTTGGGCAGCTTTGAAACTCTTCACATCAGACGCGGTCCAGGTGCTCGAAATGGCCTAGCTTTGGCTCAAAGCAAACTGTAGCATGTCGTAACCCAAACACACGACAGGTACTCCAATAAAAGCACCAGAGGTTTGGATGGATGTATAGCCCTGTATAGGCCTCTGTAGGCGCAGGCGTCTTGTGGCTGGTTACAGTGACAGGCAAATCCGAAACCGGATACCGCCAACCATGTATGTATGTGTGCCCCATGCTGAAGCTGATGTAGCATTCATGATGCTTCTTCATCGCAGTTGGGCTAAACCAACTTACACTTAAACTAGATCTTTTTAATGTGCATAAAATTCGTTACATTTTATTTGGTTTTATTCTGCGTACTTGATACTCTTCTCCCAACTTGCACACGTCGCTCATGCAAATTGTGGTAAAGTTGCATAATTGTACTACGTGGTATTTTTTAAATAACTCGGACATTTTGTACTTATCACGGATTCACTTATAACCAATTTCTTCTATATGCTCATTTAGCTAGTATTTATGTCGTCATATACGTTTACTTTATTCGATATCGGCATTTTGTGTGATTGACTGTTGTTTAACATCCCAGGTGTGGCTGCGCTTGATGTGCATGTTGACAAGGTGCCTACCTGTCTATTACCCACTACCTCGTCTATCTGGGTCCAGGAGAAAGTTGGTCGTTGCTGGAGGGGACGGGGTGCACGGTGCTTGTGGTCGTGCTAGGCTCGAAGATTGGTTCCATGCACTTAGTGTGGAGCGGACTACGGTCCAGCCACCGCCTTGTGTGCACTTGATTCCCCAAACACAGCATGTTTGTGTTTGCCTGTGAAGGAGTGTGGGCCGGCTCCGTTAATGAAACGTGGCTCCCATCCACATGCCTCCCGGCCTTATTCCTTCGGATTTAAACTGGATATGGGGTGTGTGGATGGAGCTGTGGGTGGTGCAGCGCAAGCCATCCATGGTCCCTCTATAGGTGCAGGCGTCTTGTGGCTGGCCACAGTGACAGGCAAATCCGAAACCGAATGCCGCCAACCATAGCCCTGAGCTGAGAGCCAAGAGGTTTGATGTTAGAAAGCCAAAGCACTACCAATACCGATTCTCCAACTGCGGCTTGTCAATCCACTATTCCACTCATTCATGTGGCTACACCGTAACTGTCTTTTGAGAGGACGGCAGGTGCAAGTACAACTGTCTTTCAGTTTGTTTCTTCCCGCTACACAGGTGTTTCGCTAACTGGTCATCACCAAGCAAAGCAATGCTTCGAGTAACAAGGCAATCGTTCTGTGAACCAAGGTAGCCCATCAAACCAGCGCTGTACGGTTGAGTGCTGCCCACTGAAACCTCATAAAATGTGCGTGAATGTTGTCTGTCGGCTATTGAACCATGCCCTCGTTGCTCCAGTATTGTTAGTTTCTGCAAAAATATACCCCGCATGGCATCAAAGAGTTTTTGGGTTGTCACTGTATTTGCGCTTTCGTCTGTTCTTCATTCAGAACGCCTGGGTAATTTGGACGAGGCCCCACCACTCTCAATTCTTCCAATCTACTCTCAACTACCTAGTGACTTACAGGCGAAGATATTTGTCAAAGCCGAGGATGGAGTTCGCAAATGCGTCGTAGCAACTAACATCGCCGAGACGTCATTAACCGGTGAGTTTAACTACAACATTCATCTTATCGTCGAGCAGACAGAAAGCTTCCTCTCGCGTTTCACTCTTCTCTGCTCTTTCTAATTTCACATCCATGGCACTTCTGAAGGGGGCACAATGCTGTTCACCCTTTCCGTTATTCAGTATGTCATCGTTTTGTCGGTTGTTTCTAAGTTGGCCTTCTGATTGATTCATTCCCATAGTTTCCCTGCGTAATATTCAAGATGAGCTGTCAGTCGTAACGCTGATTTTATGCCTAGGTCCTTTTCATCAACTTCACCAATTGGTTGAACGGCTGCTCGTTGATACATCATCCGAGTCAACTATGCGCTATCTCGATGTGTCCAAGCCATGGTGACTTTGTGTAACAAGAAAACCCCACTGTTTCACTGTGCATTTGTGTTTGAGGTTCACTGTTTTGTACGCGTACTTAACCCTCATTCTTTCATTCCTTACCGTCTTTGCAGCATCTTCACTGTGTCCACACTCCGTCTTGCCTATTTCGAGTGTTGTCTCAGTTCTTCGAATATATGTTTTTTAATTTGGGGTCATTTGCGAGGCGCTTGTAGTATCGATCTCATTCTGGACCGCAGTTGATGGTAAAGTGAATTTTTTGTCACTCCCGTCACTGAAAGAGTGTTGCCATTAGCTCGGTGGCGTGGGGGTAATACCTTCGACTACAAGGCTCTCCATCCCTGATTCGAGTTGCGATCTTGCACTGGGTGCCAACAATAACGGTCGTAACAGACAACCGGAAAACAACTGACATTTCCCAATTATTTGCCTCACTACCCTTCACATGAACATAAAGCTTGTCCCTTTTTCCACGAACCTACGCACTCCAATCCAATGTATTGCATTCCTTCGTCTGAGAAGGGGCTTATCGGAGGTGTAAGAATAGGTAAGCTAGTTTTACTTTAATTTGACTCTTAACCGTTGAGCACCACAATGCGCTATATGTGCAGTACGGTTTTATAACGAGTCCTATCGAGAATTCGGATTTTCTAGTTAATAATTTCTGCTTTATCTCACTGTGGGATTTAGGATCTTCTCCTATCCTGGTCGTTCTTCCACAACAGAGCTGTATACACCAAGCACACATCCCTCGTTGAATGTCGTTGAATGTCTTCAACATCAGGGCAACTGAGATTAAGTCCCGTTTGTTTCGCAGACTGGCGGACAGTCTATGGTGGCTTATCATAGTGTTGTGGGTCCTGGCCTAGTCACCTGTCCTCTAAATGACACGAGCTCGTGCATCGCTATGCTAGAACCAACGCGACTGGCTGCTAGTTCATCAGCTGCAACGGGAAATTTGTACAAAGCTAAGGGCGGATGATCAACCGATGGTGTCTCTGTGCAAGCTCGTCATTTGTGTTCGAAGAAGACACACTAACCACCAATCTGTCAGCAGAGTATGGTGGAAAGCTTCCTACAACGACGAAACATATTTTGGTCCCCGCGCTGCTATGCAAAAGCGTACTAAGACACGCGAATTGTTCAGTTCCACTCAGAGGTTTTATACCTTGGTATTTAGTCACCGGCTCCCGATGGTTAGTGGTAGATGTCATTCACCTCATTATCCTTTGTGTTGGATCCCTTCCGTGTTTAACATTTGAGCAGTTTCCCTAAGTGAGATCTGTTTTCGGTGGTAGGCGGGAAGCCTGCGAACAAATAAACCAAATAAATGTGGCTATCCTCGCTTCTTGCAGATGTTTTCCCTGTCATCACACTGGCAGCCAGTTCCACTAAATCAGACTCCTCCGCACTACAAACCTACCCTTGATGCGTCGTTGTTTAGCTACTTGTTTACTACTTTTTGTGCTGACGATGAGCACAACGCGTCAGATGTTGCCACACTGGCTAGAGGCATGAACGTTGCGTGTTGGCGATATTCAGCGGCTGATCGTTTTTAACCACCGTAGTCTACGCGAACACACCCGTACGTTGTCGGATCGTCTAGTGGGCCATACAGATCACTACGAATTAACATTCGGCAACTGGCCATATGTTACTTGCCTGTCAGGTACATATGCCTTAAACACCTTACTTTTCTTCGACCACATTCTACACATGCTTGTCTGTTTTTTACTAATAAGGTTTCCCGTCTAAGAAAGCTCCATGCTTAACAGTCTTTACTTCGGCTAAATTTACGGAGTTTGCCGAGAAAAACTGGTCAGACTGGTGTGTACCATCTCTTTCGATGATCGGGTTTCGGGGTTGATCACATCAGGGGTCTGTGACCCTTTATTCCACAACTCAATCGCGGTGTCCGTAGTGTCCTTGTGCACTTTTCGTATTCATTTCTCTGTTCACTTAACGCACTCCAGCTGTCGCCTATTATTATCATCACGGCGGCGCGAGTAATAACCGCTGGACCCATCAGTGTTTGTCTCATGACTCACTAACTGAACTCCCCTGATGAACGAATGGGATCTCGGTTCATCCTGCATTAGTGTCCACGTCACAGCTTCTGCTGATCAAATGCAGGCGAGTTCATCCAAAGTGTCCTCTTACAAATCAAATCTCCGCTCTTTAAATTTGCAACAGATGCGCTCCAGATATTTGCAAGGTGGCTTTTTGTTTTTGTTACGTCCACGCATTCACTCTCCTCTCATGCCTAGACACACACTGAGCCCTGTGGAATCGCTTACATTACCACCTGTTCCTTACTGCATCCGTGTCGGACAGGATGTGATTACTGTGCTCAAAATCGATGCGCACTTTTTCACTGGCATGTTTTCCCAACTCGCCATTACCCTTGACGTAGAACTCATTTCACAAGCTTTACTTTTATCCCCTTCAGTTGGACCCTGTTCTGGCTTTCTAGTTTTTGGTGTTAGCTGCAATTTCATCCTTTCCGTTTTTGCTTTGTTGCGACCGGAAGCACGTGGCCATTGCCTAACTCTAATAATTGCCCCACTTTCAGCCACACCGACTTTTCCGACGTCATGATTGGTGCTTCAAATCAGATTGCAGTAAACTATGTTTCTCTGGTCCGTCAATAAGTCCTCGATGTTCTGGTCCATCATTAACGAGCTTCGTCTCGAGCAGTTTAACCTTCGAGTTGTTTTGCCCTGTTTTCTGTTACCTCCATGATAGACTGGTTCACTTGTATATCCCTCTTTTTCAGTTGACGGCATCCGCTACGTTATTGATTCCGGGTATTGTAAGCTAAAAGTGTTCAATCCCAAGATCGGCATGGATGCCCTGCAAATCTTCCCGATCAGTCAAGCCAACGCTAACCAAAGAGCGGGTCGGGCTGGTCGTACTGGCCCTGGGTACGTTTATCATGTCCATACCATCCGTCGAGACATTGCTGCATCTTTATCAGCTTCACCATCTCAGACGTCAACCCGTCATCGATTCTCTCATATCTCCTATTTTTACCACATTCCATGTAGTAATTAGTCCCGCTTGAGAATTCGAATGTCCAATTTGTCTGAACGAGCATCTGTCCCATTAATTGTTTTCTGACTTTTGTTGATGTCAAAAATCACGTCATTCTGGCGCGCTTTCCTCATGGTACCACACATGTTTTCCGATCTGTCCGTTCCCATTTAGACTTTGGAGAGCACTAGGATAGAATGATTCTTCGATACATGCTTTCGCTACCTTTTGCTCGATTTACATCTGAAGCGCCGTTTTTTTACTGACTTCTCGCAAATAGAAAGCGTCTTTTTATCCTTGAATCATGCATGCACTACTTTTTGATGGCACTTACTCTTTCACTTACTACCATACGATTTTGAACTCCTAAATCCCAGTAACTGCCTTCTCCCACCTAGTGTAATTTGTTCGTTTCAGAGTCTGCTATCGATTGTACACGATCAGTCAATTTCAAGAAGAAATGCTTGTGACTGCTGTCCCAGAAATCCAACGGACTAATTTAGCAAATGTCGTTCTGCTTCTGAAGTCACTTGGCGTGCAGGACCTTATGCGTTTCCACTTCATGGATGCTCCGCCGCAGGTTCGTCTACAGTTGTAAACCTTTTTTGTATATTTATCCTTTGCCGACAACTTACTTGTCTCATCGATTGCACACATCTATAATTCAAGTCTCAGAATATATCGCCTTGGGCGAAGATTATAGCCTCCAAGGTGCTAGCACGTTCGCAATGTCGAAACGGCAATTGCGAAGAATGTTCTTTTCGCTAAATTTTGTCTGACAATTACAATTATTAGATACATACTCATTGGAACCCAAGCTATTTCTATCGATGCAGCAACGGATTTGACTGGAAGACTGAAGGCAATCCACGCCAATTTAAATCCACTGTTCCGTTCAGTTGAACACCTATGATCCGGGTACCGAAGTGCGGGGGATCCAGTTACCACGACTCACATCGCCAAAATAACATTAATTAACAACGGCAAGAAAGTGCGGTGGAATGCAAATAGAATGTGAACCAAATGGAAACAAGAAAGAGGTATGTTAAACGAATCAGGATGTAATGAAAGTTAACAGCTAGGTGCAAGAAACTGTATATAGAAACGCCACTGACTGCGTGACTATACCATGTCTGGTAGGGTTTCCAACCACGAAGGCACGCACCGGCCTAACAAAATCTTCGGTCAGTTTCTTCATGTCCCTATGCCACCTCATCGACTGGCCACCTAGCAGTTTCGCCCAACTTGGTGCAGCCATGGCGTATAATGCACGCCGAGGAAGTCGATCAACGGGCATACGGAGGACATGACCTAGCCAACGTAAGCGGTTAACATTCAGCAAACACTCGAATGAGGCACTAGAAGGTTTCTTGACGGAAACCAACTGGCGGACCTCAGCATTTCTCACGTGGTATTCTTACCAGATGTGTGGAATACACTGCAAGTACCAGTGGTCAAACACGGCCAAGCCTACATCTTCAATGCAAATCGGCCAGATCTCTGATTCATACATTAAGACCGGACTAGCCGTAGCGGTATACACCTTAGCTTCCACTAACAGGCTAATATCTCGCCGTCTCCGTAGAACCTCTGGAAAGCCACACGAGCCTTGTTGCTACTCGAAGTAACTTCCTCGGTGATGTGACCACCAGAGGTAACACTGTTATCACTTAAGTGAACCGATCCACTGCTTCCAGCGTCTGTTCGGTGATAGCTAGAACCGGTGGTGGCGCATCGGTCCAGTACTACAACAACACTTCGCACTCTATGGGTGCACCCACTGTCATAGGCCAATATATCTGAAGTCCGCATCCTCGCTGAAACCGTTCCGCATCTCACCCACTGCATCAAAAACGGAATTCCGGCCCAGTCCGAATCATTTGTTCTATATCAGTTCAATAGTACCTCTCATAAGTACCTCGGACACGCGATTAGATGTCTGTCAAAGTAGATAGCAGAACACTTCTCCGCCTCGTCCGTCACTGCATCCTAGAACACCTAATAAGTAGTGGATATCAGATAAAAATGAGAGACCCTTTTAAAATACAGTCAAACCTGTGTAAGGCGACCACTCAAGGGACCGACAAAATGTAATCGCCTTGGACGGGTGGTCGTCATGGGCAGGTGCATGTATAGGGACATTACTCATAGGAGGAAAGTTGGTGATGTTTTTTGGCTGGTCGCGATTGACTGGTGGTCGCCATAGCAGGTTGGATTGTAGTTTATATCACAACAAAACACATCCCGAAAGTATTCAGAAAGCGCCTATTGTCGACGGCTGAAGCAATTGCAATCAAGAGGCTACAGCCGGGACTGTGTACACAGCGTGTATTTGTGCAAAGTTCAGCCTTACCGTTGTCATAGCTTGGTCAACTGACTTTAAGCATATTTATCTCTGGTAGTGTGTTTAAATTGAATTTGATTGCCATCATCTCTCTGATCAAAGTATACACGTCACATCGCTGTATCGCTAGAAATAGGTTTTGTTTCGCTGAGTATGTATCCCATAATTGTATTAGCTCGACGAGATTTATCGAAAAGAAATTTCCCCTTTTGACGTTAGAGACGGTTTCTTTGCTTCATCGGCGCTGTATCTACCTCTACTTTGTAATTTACCTTATACTTTGGTTTTGCCTATGTACTTTCTAACAAACTGCCGGAGTTGGCGCTAGCGACGGACAACATCGTTTATTCTTTCCAGCTACACCACCAGTTTCCGCTTCACTTCCTTTTTTCTACCCTATTGTTGGCACTTCTGCTTGCTAACTACCTGCGTCGCTCCTAATATGGGTGAAATAGCCAGAGAGAGACAATCGACCTAATCCAATTCGGTGCGTAACTGCATGCGACCTCGCTGTGTCACTTGTTCGAACTCGATCGGTAGTATTCATCTGGAAACGAGGCGTCGGTATGAGGTGCCAAACTACTGTTGATGTCATTAAATGTATTTTTTGACCCGTTTTACTTGTCGCATCACCGAGATGTGATCGTAGATTCAGTACATTAGTATTATGATCTCCTTACTGCCTGATGTGTCCCTGTAACGCACTATACAGTCTACATTTTATTGATTCTTGTTGAATCTCCAACTCTGATCTCCTTCCCATTTTTTCTGCTCGTGAAAACGCAAGGTCGGTTCTTTGTTTTTTGTCTCTGTTCCGGCGATGCTGTGCCCACTACGCAGCAGGCTACCTGGTATCCGTGCTACCTATTCTGCTGCATCAGCTTTCCTTCAAACCAACTCCAACTTCGTATATCCTTACATCCTTTCTTCCTTCAGGATAACATATTGAATTCAATGTACCAGCTTTGGATTTTTGGCGCCCTAGACAACACTGGGGGGCTGACAAATCTGGGTCGTCAAATGGTCGAATACCCTCTTGATCCCGCCTCATCTAAACTGCTTATAATTTCGTGTGACATGAATTGCTCAGAGGAGATTCTGACCATCGTATCTATGTTGTCCGTTCCGAATGTGTTCTACCGTCCAAAAGGGAGAGAAGAAGAGTCGGATAACGCTCGTGAAAAGTTCCAAGTCCCCGAGTCCGATCACTTGACTCTGTTGAATGTGTACAATCAATGGAGAAAAGCAGACTACTCATCGGGCTTTTGTGCTCGACACTTCTTGCACTTGAAAGCAATGCGTAAGGTGCGAGAGGTTAGGCAACAGATGAAGGAAATTATGGAGCAACACAACATGAACCTGAAGTCATCTGGGAGCGATTGGGATGTGGTCCGCGAATGCCTTTGCTCAACCTTCTTTCATCAAGCCGCTCGTATCAAGGTCAGTCGCTGCGCCGCCTAGATTTTCTCAGTCTCTTCGGTGTTTGTTCACCACTTCAGCTACTTTCTCCATGAACTCATTACGTTAGATGGCTTTCTTTTCTTTACCTATGTTAGGCTAACTGGGCGCGTTTATGCGTGTTCGTCTTAAATGAAAATATTGCTGCGATTCTATTCCCGGAACACCGCGGGATGTGTTTGTTAGATGGGCATCAGTACCAGATTAAGTGCGAGCTCGTGCATCGGATAACTGTGTGGTTAGTTCGTGCAAATTAAGAGCAACTTTGTATTCTCGCCCTTGGAGGTTCATTACTATTAATTACGTTCTGGGTTCTGACTAGGTACGCTCATTGCAGCGTGGTTAGGACCGGTATCTGTTCACTAACTGCCTACTTTTATTCGATCAGTTTGTTGAATGCTATACACACACGCCAGCCAGTATGTAAGGCCTCCTCAGGTGAAATGCTGACTGCATTACGTTTCATTTTTGGCGGGACATATCAAGCTTCGACATTTTTTCTCCGCAATATACAATTGACCATTATGTGCACAATTCTAGCCAATAGCAGTGTGCACCATCTTTCGCGTTATTTGTCACTTCAAATGTACGTACTTGTCATCTGTTGGTCATTGGACTATGTTGAATAGCCTACACCACACGTTCATTCTGCACTCGCTCATTGTCCACTAACTTACTCACATTGTCCTCTTCAGGGGTTGGGAGAATACGTGAATTTACGCACCGGGATGCCATGTCATCTGCATCCAACAAGTGCCCTCTACGGCATGGGGTACACTCCAGACTATGTGATTTACCATGAGCTGATAATGACCACCAAAGAGTACATGCAATGCGTCACGTCTGTTGACGGAAATTGGTTGGCCAAGGTTGGACCAATGTTTTATAGGTAAGCAGTGCCACTTCTGAGGGCGTCTACCGTTTTGCACTCATTGCTTTCATTGGGATGATGGTGATCATCTGCATTATTTTCGAGCGGAGTGAGATTTACTCGTTATGCTGTTCACCATACAACGTATTTTTTTCGCTGACAAGTTTCCGTTTATCTAAGCGCCGCTAAGTGCTCATTTCAGTCTTGCAATGTAATTTTTCCTTTTTCATGATTATCAATCTGACGCTTGGGGGAACGCTATGTTCGTCTGTTAGTGCTTTCAGTCAACCCATCGGCGCCACACATGATCGTTCCCTAAACTTGAACTGCTATTTATCTACCCCATATCTCAGTTCGTGTCAGTTGCTTGTACTGTGCCTATTCGAAATAATCCACACAGTGGAGTACTTGACTGAAGCATCATATGGGATGGCTACTTGCTTTCCTTCTGAATCGCTTGTAGCTAGCTGTTCAGCAGTGATCTGTCCTGTTGGGTTCATTCCTTTGTTTTCAACTGATCTACGTTCCTTCGAAGCTATTTTCGATGAATTTTCCGCCTCATTTCTTTTTGCTATTTTCGCATTTATCATCATCCATCACAATTGGCATTGGGATTGTATTCGGTGTACTGATTAGAGCTGCACTTTTCAAACGATAAATGTTAATCCGCCTTTTCTTAACTCAGTCCCATTCTGTACTTACGTCGATTCATTGTTACTGACTTTCAAGTATTTAGCTGGCGAAATCGGCGACCGATTATGCCATGCGCGCCAACGCACAATGTGTTTTTCTGTTCCGATCTTACCTGCCCCATTACCGCTTTACTTCGTTACTCTGTCATCCCGAGTTGTGGATCATTTGCAGGGCAGTGTCACTCTTGGGTCCATCCTGAGGATCGGCTACCTCGCTTGTTCGAAATCCAAACTTGCATGACACACTGGAGAAACTAGTGGCTCGCTCTTGTTTTCACTGTTTCTCTTCCACCTCTCAAATGTTTTCAAACCTTCTTTCTCAATTGTTCTTTCATCATTGCCGTAATTACTTTTGTTTTATTTCGTAACCAGGAGAGATTCGTCAAAACCACACCTAATCAGACTGACACTGTACCTTCGGAGAGGCACTGGGTGGCCATTCCATGCTCTTGTTAGTCATAAGTGAAGTGCATCCCGGCTTGAAATTTACTTCGCCCCACTTCAGTGATCGGTTAGTCGTTGACAAACCGGGCTGTGCTTTTCAAGACAACCCACTACTGTTTTCACTAGGACTGACGTCTTGGTGTGCTACTCAACTTTTACGAAGCCTTTGCCAATGGGCATTATTCGGTCGCGTGGAAGAGAAGCAGGCTTGAATAACTGAGGATATAGAATGAGGAAAGTTAGTGCAATAGCACCGTCCTTACTTTTTGAGAACAAAGTTCGGCATCTCTCGATCGAGCTTTACCGTCAAATACTTCAGTTTCACCTACCCCATTAGTCGTTCACTCACCATGTTTGTGTTCTAACTAAGTTGTCCATCCTGGAAGTGATAACAATGCTTCTGTTGTTAAGGATGACTATCTACTGTCACTTTTATGGCCGCAACTGACACACATCATCTGGTCTTATTCACTCTACTCTTCCTTGCGACATTTACGCCTCAGATGTTAATGATTGGCTGGTTTCCTGTCTTGTATCTGTAACGACGCATTGTCTAAATTATTTGTTCGTGTGAACTTTAGTAAGTGTGCCGTTTGCCGAGAGCAGATTCTTGGCTTCATTTCATTTAGGCTTAGGTACTTCGGTTGACAATGCCCGGACTATCCCGAATTCTCACCTGCGATAACTTTTCATGAAATAAACTGCCTTCTGGTCGGTAGCGCTTTGTCCCGGTTGCACGACAGTCCCCTTTGGGTTTTGCTGCTCATGTTTTTCTTCTTTGTCTCCACAGCGTTAAAGACCCCAATCTCACGCGTATGGAACGGAAGCGGCAGGCCGAAGAACAACTGGCCGTTATGGAGAACGAGATGAGAGTGGCTGAAGAGCATTTGGTTCGACGCCGTGATGAACTGACAGCCTCTATCAGTTCTAGTCGTCTGTACGTTTCTATTCGGTTTGCATTCCATACTGAACTCTATCCGGTAACGTATATTTGATATTGCCATCTTATCACTATTCCATGTAATCTTTACTATCGTTTGTGGTTGTCCCTCTGCCTTTCAGGCCGCGCGATTAATTGCGCCAGTAACGCCACATACCTCGAACTTTGTTGCGCCCATTTTATTGGGTTATGCGTATGAAGTTTATTCAGACGAACGTAGCATGTGCTCTATTGCAGTCGACTCATACTTCTGTCTCTTCGGCTGAACTCGCGCGTTCATTGCTTTTTAGATCTATTTGTCTCCAATTTAATTCAACTGTTGCCTGTTTTATACTCATCTATTCCATGCTTCCTATTCCGCTTTCAGACACCCTATTGCTACTCCCGGAATGCGCACACCGGGGACTCCTGTCGTCAGCAAGCGTCCGGCTGGTCGCCTTGGCTTGTGACCTCCATTACCCAATTGTACAGCTGTGTATATGACATCAGTTATGCTAAATGCACTCACCTTTATCCAATTTCTTTACACTTTTTGTTTCCATCAATTTGCGCAGTTTTTACTCTCCTCGTATGCGGTAGCGTCAGCATATTGATACTTCCCATCTGTTCGGGATCTTGCGCTACTGTATCCGCCCTCCGACTGGTCTGCTAGTTAACATTCTCATTCCTACCTCCCATCTCCTCATCACCGTGTTCGGATTGTCAACATCCATATCTTATAAGGAGATCTGTATGAAATTCGGTGACGATTTTCACCTACGTTGATGTATCGGGTACACCTTATTAATCCAATACACGAGGAAAATTCACATTCACATTGTCCATCACGCCTTCCGCGTCAACTGAGGTACATGTTTGATAATCTTTTCTTTTCGAACGTATACTCGTATTCTTTTTCGTTTTCTCTTTTTGAATCAATATAGTTACGACGGATTCCACTGAATCCTATTATTCAAAATCATTACATTGTATGCAGGATGTGGACCTTTATCCCCCAATCCGCTGGTGTGCGGAGGCAGTCTCGGAACCTCTCACGTTTTGTCCCATCACAAAACGGTTTCCAAATCAACTTGCAGTGCCAGCTATGTCTCAACTATCTCTATTCTATTTTCTGCTGACATACACCTTTCGACACGTGTAGCGTAGAGGCATCTCAGACTCCAGCGAGCATATCTAGTACTGGTTGCCTTGCTACTTCTCGCCCATTTTCAATTTCCAGCGTTCAGCGGGATAACGCCGGTTAATATTCCATTTTTACTCGCGGGCATTTCAAAGCGCATGTTCGGGAAATTGTACACAGGTTGTTATAAGATTTCTAGGACTGTGTGTGATCCACCTCGCTTAGTTCTTCATAGGTCTTTGTCGTCACATTCCCCGGTTTGGGCTGGCTCTTCATTATTTTGATGCACAGACTTGAGAGTTAAATGCTTGGCTCAGAGCTCCTGCAAAACGCCTGTTAACGGAGGGCCACAGCAGGTCACTTACCTGCTTAATTGTTTCACTAGTGTTCTTGCCCCTGTTTTTCATGTGTCGCAGGTCGCCATCTCAGGTTAACTACACATACCTGCTGTTAACTACCACTCAAAGCGCTGAGTAAATTAATGTTATTTTCCCAGCCATTACTCCTGTTGTGTACTGGGTCTCATACATTCACGATCCTTGCTAACTTGGCGAAAATGGGTGCTTTCCTCTTTTCCACATCTCCAGGCCTCGGGATCGGTTTTCTATGACAAAATTCACACGTTTCGTATTTCGTACCATATCATACCCACTACTCGAGGTATTTAGGATGTTTTGAGTCATGCGTAACCCCTTACGGGGAACAGTTCGCTCTGATTGGTTCTACTGAGTAGCCGCACACGCATCGTCCTTCTCTTTGGAACTTACTGAATTGGTGATCATGGGACGGTGCTTCTCTGTTACTATGATATACGCTTTCATCGAGTGCATCTCAGCACAGGTTCACAGTGTTCTAAAACCTTACTGACAGCAGTGCCGTCAGCTACGGATGTCGCGTTACTATTGTCTGGGGCTTCTATCACACTGGCTTACCTGAGCAGAGATGAACCAGTTTCTCACTGGTTGTGACTCCTGTTGGTATACTTCACTGTGACGAGCTACGATGTGGTGCAACAATTCATGTATCCATATAACTTGTCGGGATACACTGAGCGGCATTTCCTAGTAATTTCATCAGAAAGAAGTTAGAGAACCTCATTCTCAGCACTGTTTTCATGGACGTACGAGTCAATGTCACTTACTGTCATATCTGAGCCATTGACGTGACACTGGTGCTCATGTTATCAACTAAGTATACTTGATACAAACCCTAGGGGTCACCGATCGTCCTTTATAGTAGGAGGTCACGGCTATCGCTCAATGTTTTTTTACAACCTACTTCAAACCAGGTGGTCCCTTATCATCAAAGTGAAAACCCGGCAAATCTTCCTTGCCATTGGCTGTGGTGCTCGATGACCGTCTTCTGCGGTCGAACAACATGCGTATATGCTTCTTAATCTTCATTGCTGTATGTGCTCGACTTCCAGTATATCCCAACAGTACTGTGCCATCACTCCCAAACTGGAATGCAAATTTGCAAGGACCAGAGTTCGGCACCATCGAACAAAACACACCTTTAGAATTAGCAGTCGGAGTGTATCCTCTGCTGCGGAGCCTCGTCTCACGTAACCTCACTTCCTCCCCAATTTTCCTTCTCATTTATCTCATGTTTGCTAGTAGGAATTGGGCTTTGATTTTACCCGTCATACTATAAAGGAAATAAAATCGTTCAAAAATAGGATATCTTTATCTTTGGTTTTTACTTTTATTACCTTGTGCCCTATTGTCCAGCAAGTGATGCTTGCTATGACTTCCTACTTCCTCTGAATGAATGCATGCTGTCTCCGAAACACGCATACAGAGCAACAACAGACTCGGACTCTAAAGACGACTTACACATTTCGGCTTTCTGGTTATATTGAACCCATGGCTCGCGGTATTTGCGACTTTGCAAACTTGCGGAGGCTGCTCTCCTACGCTGAGCCCCATTGCTGAAATGCGATTAGACTTTGAAACTCAGTCGTATTTAATAAGCAGTGACCGAAAGCAAGGCGTATTTTATTATTCCGTTCTTTGTCACCACTGATCGCAAAGAAACTCATTGGTGTTGTTATCACCCGTTCTCATCGCAGGGAAGTTGTCAACCGTACCGAATTTATGGTGGTGGCACTTGACATGAATGCCCAATTCAGTTGCGTCCTAGGGCTAGTAAGTCGCCTCGGAGTCCGTATTGCTCGCCACGTCATCAGCGTAGTTTCCCGCACGAGTGTTCACATCCAACCACATGGTGTCAGCCGAAAGACCGTCTGCTTTGAACCCGTTAATTTCATGCTCATGCGTTATAGGTGGCTCATCTCGACCCACGGTCGTCCGTCACTCCGGAGCCCTCATGCGCGCGAGGTGAACGTTTGAACTTCTAGCTCCATCTAAGCGCCCGGTATCAGTCCGGATTGCTACATCAGTTGTTACTATCGGATGTTATGGACGAACTAGTTGCAGATCGAACTTGTTATGCAAAACTCTAGGGACTGCTTACCTTTCTAGCTGGAGAGATCCGGATAGCGAATAGCTTTCCATCACCTTAATCAGTTTAATTTAATTTGGTTTCAGATGCGGTCTCAGTAATCAACTCGACCCGAGCTTACTTCAAAGTGAATCGTAGTCCGAATTAAGCTTGTGCGCCGCAATCCATACAATGCGTGCTTCACAATGAACCAACCACTGAGTCAATAGCCGTTGTGATCAACGTTGCCCTCCGCGACTCGGTGGCAAATGGGCGGCGGTTTCGGTTCAAGCCACAGTGCTGCTCCTCTCTGCTTGGCGAGTGCAACTGAACATGAAACCGGCTGTGAAAAGCAGTGCATCACAAGCAGGCAACATCCAAATACGCCTGGATTCAGAATACTACTACTATTGCGGTAACTGACTATATGTCTCAAGATGAACGGGGGCAACGATACACGCTAAAGATTTGTTAGAGGGCGAACAACAAAATGCGGGGGCTGTTTAAGCTTTTCAAATACGCGGGTCCTTAAACCGCTTCAGTGAGTGCAACAAAACTTGTGCAAATGAGCAGTTGCTTTATTCTCAGTCATCTCCTATTACGTGTTGGGTCGGAAAATCTGTTTGTCGATTTCAAGCACAAGTTTTTCTTCCTAAATATTTGTTTTCGTGATTACGGTCATCTTCCTGGGTATTCGAACATCGACAACCACAGTTAGGCTTTTGCCTATTTAAGAGATTCGTTCATGATGTACATCTTGAAGTGCGTTGGTTTGTTTGGACCCATAAATGTCACCTAATTTCCTCTAACCCTGTGTTTCTAGTATACAGCTCTTCTCTTATGAGTTATAGTTTATGCAGCCTGTTTATACTATGTCTTAGCTTGTAACCCAGTCACAATCACTCGCGACTCCTGACCTTAACACACAGGAATGAGGGTTGTGCGTCCAATTCGCGCGTGAGTTACAAGGAGTACGTGCGACCGGCAATCCCCAATCTTGCAAATAACGCACCTGAACCGATCACAACAGAGCGTATCGCTTTGCCATATATCAAGAACGTTTCAGAAATAACCGCCCGACTCCTAAAACCGCACCACTTGATGGTAGCTGGTATACCAATCGCAAATGAAAGGAATTATGTCTAGGCCGAAAGAGAAAACGAAAGCACACGAATGCCGGAGTGTCGGACAAGATGCATTGTCGGAATTGCGAGAAACGCTATGTTTTCCAAACAGTAAGGAGCTTATCCACAAGATTACAAGAGCACAAATAAGTCTGCCGAAACCATTACTCACCATCACTAGTCTCGGTGCACGTTGATTAGGAGGGACACAACTTTGACTGGGACAAAACGGAGGTTCTGGCGCAAGGAGAGAGTAAGAGAATTTCTCGAAATATGGTTCTCTACAGAGAAATCAATAAACCTACGCATTGAACTAGCTTCGGTGTATCAGTAACTGCGAAAGAAGTTAGGCGGACCATGAACAACTACTTGAGACCGAAAGAGGTGGCAGTCGAACAACGAACACTCAGTGGTCAAGGGTCTTGAATGGAAAAGTCAAGCTCAAGCTGGTGGGTACAAGTCTTGTTCACCGTTCGGTCGTTGGTCACGCCTTCCGTTTCTCTCTCACTGCCCCCCTGTGGAGTTTGTTCTGTTTGGATGGCAACCTTTGTCATCAAATCAGTTGCTTGAATTCGTGGTGCTGTTGGCCGTCAATATCCACATTCCATTCATCTTCTGCGCGCTTGGGGAAAAATTCTAGGCTTTGGTTCGTTTGAACTTTTTGTCATACCACAAAATGCCATGATATCCATAACGCTTGTTATAACTCACATAAACCGCATTTATGTTGCTCGTCAATTACTCTCGTTCAACCTACTGCTGTTTATTGTAACAGAAGTTTTTTCAGGGCATTGTTTTGCCAATTCCACGAGTGCTTTTTGACATTTTCCTAGTGCCTCCAAGTTTACCCGTTTTCGTCGCATCGGATATCTCTTGTGTTTTTGTGTACTTTGAACTTGATGGTTTAATACTGGCTTTGCTAGATGGATACTGCGAATACCACTAGCGCACAACTTATGGAACACGGCTATTTTCTTCTGTGCTCTACAAAACCTTTTGTAGTTAGGAGAAGAATAAGTCAGGTCCTTGTTTATGAGGGGAGCTTAGTGCCGGATTAAGTTACTTTTGGAGAATTTCTGCATACGCGGTGGCACTGTCCAATTTCACTTTTATCTTGGTCCTTCAACGACTATCCTCATCTATTAATCGCACTAGGTTGTTTGTGACCATTCGTATATTTCAATGAGGACCTGTCAACTCAAGAAAGTCGGT